AATTAACTATAGTTAACCAAAATAACTCAATTTGAACAAATTAATTCATAAACAATCAAGCCCTAAGTAATTAAATAATTACATTTGTTGATATATATATAAATACATTTATACTTAATAATATATTTTTTAAATAATAACAACTTGAATGCTATTGAAAGTCCAAACCATTACATTAGGAGAAAAAAAAAATCTTGTGACTAATATAAATATATCATTTAAGTCTTAGTATTATTTTGAGTCATTTAACCAAAAAGAAAAAGGAAACAAGGCTACAAATGCATACTTTTTATATAAGTTCACCTTCAATGTACAAAGAAATCAATATTCAAAGTAATCAAGACATAAGGGTAAAGTAATCATGGGAGATTAAGAAGCAATACTATAGTTGATGTATTGCAATCTAGGCTTATTATTTTACCTTTTAATTCACAAGAATAACCAAAAGAATTTGTACACATCACATGCAGTTTGGGAAAGTAGATTTATTTTCATGAAACTACTTTGATTGAATTTTTATTTTGATACTTTCGAAATAAATCAATGTTAGAATGTGATGTGAACCCAAAAGTCAAAATTACCAAAACATAGTCAACACTAAAGTTGGATGTAGGTGAGTTTATCTGATTCTGATGGCCCCACCAAAATTTAGCTCTCAAGTTTTTAAACCCGGCCCAGTAATTGACCAGAGCAGGTGTCTGGGTCACTGGTTTAACCGTCGGGTCAACGGGTCAATTGATGAACCAAATGATTAATTTTAAAAATTTGAAAATTATATATAGAGTATTTTTGTAATATAAATATACATAAAAGTAACAAAATTAAATATTTTGTGTATAAAAGTTGTACATTAAAGTGTTAATAATATGTATCTCATGATATATATTTACCATATATACATATATACATATTTTTATTTTTAATATATATATATAATATATATATATATGTTGGGTCAAGCGGGTTGATCTGGCTGAGTCAATCCCGGGTTGGCTGGGTTTTGACCGGGTCATTTGTTGCCCCGTCCAAATAGCCCACCCGAATCGGTTCCAGGTCGACTGGGTACGGGTCGACCCGCCTGACTGGTCCCGTTCAGAAAACTATGCTCTCAATAGAAAAAAAACTAAAGAAAGAGAGCTGAGCTAAGTCGATAGTTGAACTCGAGTTCGACTTATTTATCAATATTAATGAATCGAGTTCGAGACATAATAAGTCAAATTTGAGTCAACAAACTGAATTATAAAAAATTGCGTAAACTTTTTTATTCTTTAGCTTAAACGAGTTTCAAACGAGTTGAACAAAATTTAAACTTTAGTGACCAGAATCAAACTCACAAACGACTCGTTTTTAACATCATCCACTCTCCTTTTTGGGCTTGGGCCCGCTTATACGATTTTCACGGATTAAGACTTGTGAAGTTGTTTGGGACCACAGCCCATTCCTTCTCCAACTCACATTTCGCATTACGGTATGCCTATGTGGACCCCGCATTTATGTTAGTTATTTTCATCCAGATTTTTTTTTGGATACATTTTGGAAAAAAATGGAAGGTTTATGCTTTCTTTACATGGTAATAACTAACAACAATGACAATTGGACGTGAGCTAACACGGTATATACCCCAAAAAGAGAGTCATTTTTTTAAAAATAGAATATTTTTTCTTTTATCAAGAATATGAAAGATATTTCAGACCATCTCCGCTGCGTTGGAATAACGTTTAACACTAGAGATTTGGCAAAATCTCGCTCAAAGCGCTAT